ACGGAGGGGGATGGAGGGGGATGGAGGGGGATGGTGAGGAGGGAGGGGGATGGGGGATATAGAGGGACAGAGGGGGATCAAGAGAGATGGAGAGAGGGAAGAAAGGAAGAAGGAGGGAGGAGGGTAATGGCCCATGTTTGGCTTGTCTCAACAAAACATGAACACTAAATTAAAACATACTGTTACTATCCAGAAACAATCATAGAAATTTAGAAATGAACCCAGGTATACTGTGTGCTAAGAGTGATATTTAAAATCAACAGTACAGAAGTGAATAATTCAATAGACGTGACAACTAGCTGATCATTTAAAGGGATGAAACAAAGTTGGATTCCTACTTCATGACTTGCACTGTTGTAAATTCCATGTGGATTAATGACCACAGAGTTATAAGGGAAGTGATAACTGATAGAAAATATTCATATTATATATGTATAATATTCTTAACACAAAAATCTCCTAAATCAGAAAATGAAAAACACCCAGTAAAAAGTGATCAAAAGATATAAACAGGTAATCACAAAAGAAAAGGCAAATGCTCAAACTCATGAGACACAGAATAAATTCAATAACAACATATGGTTTCTCACCTAGAAGCTTGGGAAAGATTTTAAGAGTTATAATGCTTGTTTGTGGTCAAATAAAGGTGAAACGGAGAATGTACAGGGCTGGGGAGTATGAACGAGTACACATCGGGATGGAGAGCATCTGATGCTCTCAAACTTGTAGGAAAATATCCTAAGAAATAATCTTAGACGAAGAAAAAGAAATTAAAAACGAGGTGACATGCCAGAGATGTCATAGTTGTAATGGTGAATATTGAGAAAAAACGTTAAGTGACAAGAATACAGAACTGATCATCTACATGATGACGTGTTATGCAGTCACAAAAATTTTCAGAGAATATTTAATGGCATGGGGGAAGAGATGGGCATAAAGCGTACACTGCGTGTCTGCTCACCGCATCACTGGAGTGGACGGTCGGTGTATTTCCACAGATGCATGTCTGTATTCAAGTATTCACTGCTTTCTTCATTTGCTCCCTCAGCCTTCATGCTGCACAGCCAGCATGAGGTGTGTGTCAGAGTCAGCGAGACGGAAAGAAACGAGGACCTCTGCCCCCACCATGAGCATGCAGGCAGCAGGTGCCAGCCCGGCGGCAATTCTCAGGAGTGTGCCCCTGCCCCGGGGGTACTTGCTGCGATTCCCTTCTCCTCTGCTGGGAATCTGCTGGGAACTGGTTCCCAGGGTGGTAAGGCAGAGTAGAACCATGGAGTCATGTGTGGGGTCTGAAACCTCGAATGAGGGATTCTTTCTTCCCAGAGAAAGTTGCGTTTTTTTCCCAACATGGAGACAGAGCCTAACCCAGCATGCCAACAATGATATGAGGCAACTCAGTTGGCTGAGGTGGCTGGCCTCTCAGATTCATCTGTAGCAGCAACTCACAGCTGAGCATGCTCCCAAACGGGGGCAATATGCCCCTTTGTGGGGGCCCGCATGAGCTATGGTCCTCCAAGTTCAAACCCCATCTGTGGCAGAGAAATGGGTTGCCTGGTTCTTGAACTCAAGCTTTGACTTAAGAGAAGTCAATGGTGTCTGGGGAAAATACTTTTTAAAGAAAGATCACAAAGCCATTGTGTACCTGTGCAAGAATGTACATATTATCTTGCCCGAAACACAGACAGGGAGCCACTCATATGAATTTCCTCTGCCATTTATATTCTTAAAAATCCCATGCTTTATTGCACTTGGCCATTTTGCAACATCTACTAAGTAACTGCTACATGCCAGGCATTGTACAAGGAGAGGCCAACAGAGACAAGTCAAGAAAACCAAGACAGGGTCCTTGCTGTTAAGCATCCCACAGTCTGCTTGGGAAAACAAATATAGAAGCGCATAAGCAAGGCTCTGTGAGCGCAGTCAAAGGTGGGGGCGTCACATTAACCCAATTCTTGATGTAAGAGGAGGAATGATGAAAAGAATTGCATTTGATGCAAACTAGATAATATGAAGTTTTATTTCTTTTTTTTAAAGATTTTATTTATTTATTTGAGAAAGAGAGAGCAAGAGAGAAAGCACAAGTAGGGGGAAGGGCAGAGGGAGAAGCAGGCTCCCCGCTGAGCAGGAAACTCACATGGGGCTCAATCCCAGGACCCTGAGATCATGACCTGACCCAAAGGCAGACGCTTAACCAACAGAGCCACCCAGGTGCCCTTATTTCCTTTGGTATTCATGGGTCATTAACTTGGTTTTAAAAGTCCACATTTTCTGCCGTCCTATTTTTTAGTTAAGAGCAATGTTTAAAAATCACCTTTGTTTTCCCCCTACAGACTTAGAATTGGGTTTTTGTCATTTATGACAAATATGCTTTTTAAATAAGAGACAAATGGCTATGATTGGAGGATGAATCAATGGATAATGTCATGAGTAGTTACTTAATATTGTAACCTCTGCCATGGTGATATAGTTCAATATTGTTTAATGTTTTAATCTTCCCAGAGACATTTATTTTTATCATGTGAAATTTAAATAACTTATTTACAAATAATAAATTTGAATATAGGAATCTTAAGAAATAGGGCAGGGAAATTGAGAACAGTTTAAGAATTGATGATAGTAACAACAGTTACCATAAAGTTGAAAATTTAGTAATTCTTCAAAATAGTTGGAGATAAATATCATTAAATGCCTATTGTCAATGGGATGATGGTTTCAGATTTTTCCCATTATAACAGAAATGACATAAGGAGAGTATAAGAGAAAGAAGTATGTAGCAGATTTAGCAGCCTGTGTAAAAATTTAGCAGCCTGTGTAAAAATACATTGACACAACTAAGATACTCTTAAAAGTCCTGAATTTTCAGTTCTCAGCATTCGCGACTAAGATAAAAGCAAGTTAACAACATGGGTGGTCAAGTCTCTGACTCCAATATCTTTTAGACATAAAAATTTCTCGGAGGCACATGTCAATTAAATGACACACTACAAGATGAAAGTCTCAGACATTCTGGAGGTATGTGATGAGATAAAGTGTCTTCAAAATAGCCCAAGTGTTAGGATTTCCTGTTCAAATTTTAAGTGACACATTGATGAGAAATTTACTTTTTCCACTATTGTCTCACTCTGAGCTCTCTTACAGGGCTGGCAGTCTGTGAAGACCACAGATACTGTTTACAAGAGTAATTTGGTCTCCCACTAGAAGATGCCCGACTCTCTGGCCAACAGAAGGGATGTGTCAGTATTCTGCTGTCTCTCTCCTAGCCACCTTATTTAGTGGGAGATTACAAATGCTGAATGGGATGCACCTAAGGCACAACTAATACACAATGAAAGCACTGAGAACACTGGTTGTCTCTATTCCAACAATTCAGGGTAACAAAGGAATAAATATGAAATATGTTGGAGAACTTCTTAAAATATTCAAATTCTTGCCTGTGGAGAAGTAATCAAGTGTATGCACACACATATGTTAAGGGTTTATAAATCAATATAATATCAAGTGAAATCTCATAAACATCATGCATGACAAGGAAAAGTTAATTTGGATTTTTCATCAACATATATATAATTTCATATATTACTTGATATTTAGCCCAGGCTTTAAATGTAGATTCTTGAAATAAAATCATGCATTCATGAAGGTCAAATGCAATTCTTCATATATTTTCTCAAATACAACCAGATTAATTTTTCATAATATCAGGATGAGGTAACTTCCATAATATGCTAATTTAAGCTTACCTATAAACAATGATAAGATTTCTAAAAAAATTGAACAAAACTTTGCAAAGGGTTTTACCACACTGATGAAGACACCCCAGTGAATCATGTTACAGGGTCTGACATGAATCAGAAACAGTAATATGGCAATTGTGTTAAAAATATAAATAAAATAACTAACATATTATTAATAGTTTATAAAAGCCTGATTGAATCTTAAGTGTTTTACATGCATTATAACTCACATATTTTATCCTAATTATATGTTAGTAAACTAGATAGCTAGACTTGAAGTAACTTTTAAAAGGTCAGACATTGTAACTTTGAGAGCCAGAAGTGATGCTAAAGCTCACTGACTGCAGAGCTAATTATGTGAATTATTAAATTACATTAATTTGACTTATTATAATTGCTTACACAGTAAAACTACCTTCACTGCCTTTGACAGCCATAAGTTGTTTCTGAGTTCATACCAACACTATTCTTCCATAAATGATCTCTACTTTTATTTATCATTTTACAGTTTCATATGTTGGCCATTATCAATTACCCTTTTCTGGTGTCAAATAAGGATTTTTAGAAATATTTTCTGTTATTGTTTTTTGTTTGTTTGTTTGTTTTCAGTATTGTTTAGGTTTTTGATGTTTAGTGTGTCATGTAGCATTTTTTACCATATGCAGTATTTCTTTAAAACTTAATGATTTCCAGAATTCTACAATCATTCAAAATAAAAGGTCATTTAAAAGGCCTCATACCCTTTTATCAAGTAAATATACATCATCAAATAAAAGTAATTTCCTGCAGGAGTTTCCTGTATATGCTAACACTACTCTTCCCCCAACTTTAGAAAACTCAATCCTTAACCATTCATGGATTTTCAAAATTGTCATAAAAAATTAGTCCCATTATTTCCTAATAACAGCATTTTAGTTTTAACCCAGCTACTCTAACAGTGTGTCTATGGAATCTGAATTTAAGTTAATAAGGACATCATTCTTTATGAGTTTCTTTAGTCCTCACTAATTTTTTTGCTTTTCATGGCTACAACCAATAATATTGCATCAAACATAGAATATAACTTTAAAAATCACTTATTCTATGGTGAAACACTTATTTAAAGATCTGAGGAAATTAGAACCAGACTTTTACATCATTCAACTGCAAAAGAGTGCTACCACTTATCTCACACTCCACCCAGTGTGAGTCTAGTAGTGCTCTTGTCATTACCTACACCACTTATCAACTACATAAGTCCAGGTTTCATAGAGCACAGTCCCTGAGATTACTCTGCTGCTGAGATGAATAACCAAAGAGAAAACCTCTCAGAACCAAATCTGATTAAGAACTCAAGAAGACAGCAATTGAAAGGTAAGCTCTAATTCAGTAACTGAGGAGGAAATAATCTCTGCAGAATTAAATCTTCAAATGCTTCTGAGGATCTTTAAGGGGATGACAAGAACTAACACTGCATAAATAAAGCACACAGTAAAGCACACAGTACAACTGTTCTAGGATGTGAACTTGGGGTACACAGGTATGGGGAAAGAGTGGGGAATGGTCTCACAAATTTTTCATTTGTGAGGGCAGAGCTTAAAATTGGAATAGGGTATTTTTATTGAAATCTGAGGATTAATTTTACTCAGGCATTGTTGTAATTCATAGTCATTGACCAACAACTCATGGAGCATTGTGTTCACTGAAAATTAAATGGTATATGGCCAGAAAAATTACAATGGTAGATATGGTTTTGTGGTCCATGTTTATACCTATGATTCCCCGTGCATCTTTGGTTCTCTTGTATGTAAACTGTCTAAACTTTGGTCTCCATCCATCCATCCTTTCTCAGTGTTTCATTTCTCTCCCCGCAGATTTGCCATCATCTCTAGAGAAGCTCATTGCTGGGATTTGTGGAATCACATGCCTAGTCTTGATATACATTGTAGCAAGAATAGGTTCTATTCCCTGTGAGTAAATCTTTGAATGATTGTGAGAGATCTTTTCAATTTAATGATCATCAGTGCCTCTAAACATTTCAAGTACCATGGAATGAAGCTTTCCTTTTCATGTATGCATTTAGACTAAATGTGGAATGCTTATTCTGAATTTCTCAAAAGTATAAATAACAATGGTTGTAGAAAATATGAATCTATACATAATTGAGAAACACAAGTTAATTCTTGACACTAGTTAAATGAAATACTGTAAGAGATGTCGAAGTTTGGTTGTTTATGCTTTTAAGCTCTAATCTTCATGATATTATTAATTGAATTTGGTAAATCAATTTTACTCCAGAGTATTCTACTCTTAGAAAATACACCAAGTTTCAAACAGAAAACTAAAATGATTACAAGGATTTTTTTTCTTGTAATTTCCTTAATTTTTCATTGTACTTTCCTTAATTTATATTTTTAGGTAGTGGAACACCAGAGCAAAACAATTCATACCCAGTTACAAGAATCCAAAAAGATATGTAATGATTTTCATAGTTCTGATATTAGTACAGTTTATATTCTGTCTCCATCTAGGCTGTACAAAATCAATAGAGTTTCAAGGGAAACATAAGTTATAAAATACAGATAATAGATGTTAATAATTAATGATTATAAGAGAGTATTCCTCCTTATGCAACAATATGAAGAAATCCTAATTTAAAATCACCATACCCATTGTTACCAATTGCCTCAAATATCCTCCTGCTAAAACATAAGAGAGAAATCATTTTACAATGCCCAATAAGTGGTTTTGTTCAGTGGCTCAAAGGACATGTAGATATTGACATTTTTGTGTTTTTGCTTTATATGGACACACAAATTAGGGCAGGAAAGCCTCACTCTTCTGGGAGTGTGCTTGTGTTTTATTTTTGCCAGCTTGTGAAGGTACATGGATGTTATATACACATGTGTATACATTTGCAAGTTGTAAGTTTGTGTGTTTTAATATTCAAAGCTATTTGGATAATATCTCATAATCTTTCTTTAGCTGATCCCTGTGGTCATTGTCCAAAAGAGTGGATTACATGTTTTAACAATTGGTATTACATTAGCACTGAAAGAAAACCATGGAATGAGAGTTTGATGTTCTGTGCTTCTAAGAACTCTAATCTGCTCTCCATAGGTGAAGCGAACATGGTAAGATTTCAAATGTTTCCAACATTTTATTAAAAGCTTATCAGTTGAGGGATGCCTGGGTGGCCCAGTCAGTTACATCTGCCTTTGGCTTGGGTCATGATCCCAGCGTCTGTTCCATCTTGTGACCTCTCACTGTCTCTCTCTCTCTGACAAATAAATAAATAAAATCTTTTTAAAAAAAGCTTATCAGTTAATATTATATTGGTAGAATTTAACCATATTTTTGTACATTTTAAGTCTGTTACTATTCCATAGTTTGACTCTATGATATTTTATTTATATTTTTATACCTTTAATGTACATTTGATATTTTCCAGGTCTTGCTTTTCATTGAAAACTGCTTCCATAGATGCTCTTTTGCCTGAAATAACTTTACTATTTAATTTTACCACACATCAAGGAAACTAAACATGATTGTGCAACTTGATCACAAAGTGGTTAGAACCATGTAACTATAAATCAGAGAATGAAATAGAAATTTAGAGCCTCTATCAGGCCTACCCATTTTAATAATGTGAAATATCTTTGCTTATTTTCAGACCTTACATCAATGGAATCATGCAGTATGCATTTTTATGTGTGTCTCCTTTCAGTCTCACATGATATTTGTAATCCATCTATATCATTGCATTTGTCTATAGTTTGTGAATTTTCACTGCTGTCTTATATGAATATGACCTTCTAAAATCTATTCTCATAAATTTAGTTCCTTTTTAGTATATGGGTATTATGAATATTTTATGAAAAGTCTTTTCTATGTCTTTTTAAAAAAATATTTATTTATTTATTTGAGAGAGAGAGAGCACGTGGGGAGGGGCAGATGGAGAGGATGAGGCAAAGAATCTCAAGCAGACTCTGTGTTGAGCACAGACCCAACTCGGGGCTGGATCTCACTACCCTGAGCTCATGACCTGAGCCAAAAACAAAAGTCAGATGCTTAACCAAATGAGCCACCCAAGAGGCCCAGTCTTCTATGTTTCTTCCACAAACCATATTTATAATAATTTATTGTACATAACTGCATAGGATATAGTGTATTATTTTTATGGAATATAAATATTCCATTTATCATATTTATACATTAGTATTTTATTATGATAAATACAATATTTATTTTCTTCTAAGCATTAGTATGAAGCTGCACGGTCATAGATATGTGTGTCTTTCAATATATTAAATTATCCCTACATTTATCTAGTGTATTGTGTAAATACATATTGTCCAAATAGTCCCTTGATTCAAAACTCAATAGTCTCAGAAAAATTAATACAATAATTTCTGATGATTATATAACAGTATCATTTTTCTGGCCTGTGAATCATTAAGATATTCTCTTCAGTGAGAATGAGAAGTACCCAAGTATGTCTTTTGACCATTTCTCCAAATGGTGTCATCTTTCCCTTCTTAGCCCTTGTCTTATTTTTTAAAGATTTTATTTATTTATTTGAAAGAGAGATATGAGAGAGCATAAGCGAGCGGGAGGAGAAGGAGAAGCAGGCTCCCAGCAGAGCAAGGCTCCAACCCAGGACCCCAGGATCATGACCTGATCCAAAGACAGATGCTTAACTCACTGAGCCATGCAGGCACCCTAATTCTTGTCATATTTTAATACGAGTGCTTTTTTGAGTTTATGAGATGGAAATAGTTGTGACTTGCATTTTTACTCCCATACTAGAGTCCTTTAATGATCAGAATTTTAATGTTGTCATGGTGCAATTTGTCATTTTGGAGGTAAGTGATTATTTTGGACCTATTTCAGAAGTTAGTCAAAGTTCATGAATATAATTTCTTATATTACTTCTGTATTTACCTTTTTCTTTGTTTATTTTTAACTTATTTATTAATTTTATTTATTTTTTAATTTTATTATGTTATGTTAATCACCATACATTATATCATTAGTTTTTGATGTAGTCCTCCACGATTCATTGTTTGTGAATAACACACAGTGCTCCATGCAGAATGTGCTCTCTTTAATACCCATCACCAGGCTAACCCATCTTCCCACCTCCCTCCCCTCTAGAACCCTCAGTTTGTTTTTCAGAGTCCATCGTCCCTCATGTTTTATCTCCCGCTCCAATTCCCCCCCCTTCATTCTTCCCCTCCTGCTATCTTCTTTTTCTTCTTCTTCTTTTTAACATATATTGTATTATTTGTTTCAGAAGTACAGGTCTGTGATTCAACAGTCTTACACAATTCACAGCGCTCACCATAGCACATACCCTCCCCAATGTCTATCACCCAGCCAACTCATCCTTCCCATGGAAGTGGCTGCTCCCATGTTAGGGGCGTAGATATTTACATTTGTTAGATCTTCTTGTTGGATAGACCCTTTAAGTAGGATATAGTGTTCATCCTCATCTCTTATTACAGTCTTTGGTTTAAAATCTAATTTGTCTGATATAAGGATTGAACCTCAGCTTTCTTTTGGTGTCCATTAGCATAGTAAATGGTTTTCCAGCCCTTCACTTTCTGGGGGTGTCTTGGGTCTAAAATGAGTCTCTTGCAGACAGCATACCAATGGGTCTTGTTTTTTTATCCAATCTGATAACCTGTGTCTTTTGATTGGGGCATTTAGCCCATTTACATTCAGGGTAACTCTTGAAAGATATGCATTTAGAGCCATTGTATTGCCTGTAAGGGGACTGTTACTGTATATTGTCTGTGTTCCTTTCTGGTCTATGTTGCTTTTAGGCTCTCTCTTTGCTTAGAGGACCCCTTTCAATATTTCTTGGAGGGCTGGTTTCGTGTTTGCAAATTCCTTTAGTTTTTGTTTGTCCTGGAAGCTTTTTATCTCTCCTTCTATTTTCAATTACAGCCTACCTGGATATAGTCTTCTTGGCTGCATATTTTTCTCGTTTAGTGCTCTGAAAATATCATGCCAGTCCTCTCTGGCCTGCCAGGTCTCTGTGGATAGGTCTGTTGCCAATCTAATGTTTCTATCATTGTAAGTTACATATCTCTTCTCCCAAGCTGCTTTCAGGATTTTCTCTTTGTCTCTGAGACTCATAAGTTTTGCTATTAGATGGCGGGGTGTTGACCTATTTTCATTGATTTTGAGAGGGGTTCTCTGTGCCTCCTGGATTTTGATGCCTGTTTCGTTCCCCAAATTAGGGAAGTTCCCTGCTATAATTTGCTCCAATATACCTTTTGCCCCTCTCTCTTTCTTCTCTTCTGGGATCCCAATTATTCTAATGTTGTTTCATCTTATAGTATCACTTATCTCTCGAATTCTGCCCTCGTGATCCAATAGTTGTTTATCTCTTTTTTTCCTCAGCTTCTTTATTTTCAATCATTTGGTCTTCTAGATCACTAATTCTCTCCTCTGCCTCATTTATCCTAGCAGTTAGAGCCTCTATTTTTGATTACACCTCATTAATGGCCTTTTCGATTTTGACTTGGTTAGATTTTAGGTCTTTTATTCCTCCAGAAAGGTTTTCTCTAATATCTCCCATGCTTTTTTAAAGCCCAGCTAGTATCTTTGTAATCGTCATTCTGAACTCTAATTCCAACATCTTACTAATGTCCGTATTGATTAGGTGCCTGGCAGTCGGTACTGCCTTTGTTCTTTTTTTTGAGGTGATTTATTCCATCTTGTCATTTTGTCCAGAGAAGAATAGATGAATGAGAGAACAAAATGCTAACAGGGTAACAACGACACCAGAAAAATATACACTAAGCAAATTAGCAGAGACCTGAAACTGGGGAAAAGGAAGGGAAAGAAAGAAAAGAAAGAAAGAAAGAAAGAAGGAAAGAAAGAAAGAAAGAAAGAAGGAAAGAAAGAAAGAAAGAAAGAAAGAAAGAAAGAAAGAAAGAAAGAAGGAAAGAAAGAGATTAAAAAAAACAGAATATGATCAAATATGATCAGGCTGGTGCATAAATCAATGCCACACACTAGTTTTTGGGCGTATTTTGGTCTGTTAGAAGAAAGTGACTCCCAAAATTTTAAAGAAAGAATAACTTATATATGTACAAAAATAAGGGTAAATATGATGAAGGGATGGAATATGATTATAAAGATGAAAATTAGAAAAGATTTTATAAAAGGAATTGATAAGAAGTTGGTTGAAAAAAGAAAGAAGAGGAATTTAAAAAAAAAGGGAGAGAATGTGATCAGCTGGGAGACTAGAACAAAGCCATACACTAGAGATTTAGGGTATATTTTGGTCTGTTAGAAGAAACTGTATCCCAAAATTTTAAAGAGGGAACAACTTATATATAGATACCAAAAATAAGGTTAACTACTCTGAAGGGACAGAATATGACTAAAAATGAAAAATGAAAAAGATTTTTTTAAAAAGGGATTGTAAGATGTTGGTTGAAAAAGGGAAAAAGAAAAATTAAAAAAAAGAAAAAGAAATAAAAAAATTAACTTTGAAAGACTAAAGAATCATGGGGAAAAAGCCATGAATTCTATGTGCAGTATTCCCCTAGCACTGGAGTTCTGCCATTCTAATTGATTGGTTAAACTTGGTATTGGCTGGCTGTTCTTGCTGATCTTCTGGGGGAGGGGCCTGTTGCCGTGGTTCTCAAATGTCTTTGCTGGAGTTGGAATTGCCCTGCCCTTGCTGGGGACAGGGCTAAGTAATCTAGGGTTTGCTGTCAGGACCTTTTGTTCCCTGCAAGCTTTCTGTACAGCTTTGGAGGACGAGAGTGAAAATGAAGGTCTCCCAGTCTCTGCCCCGGAGGAGCTGCGAACTCGGGGCCCTACTCCTCAGTGAGCCCCCAGAGAAAAGCATCAATCACTCCCATCTCCCTGGTCTCCGGGCGCACTCCGTGCTCACCCGGCCTGTGACCGAGCATTGCTATCTCTGGCACATGACCCTGTGTGGAGTCTCCAAACCCAACAGATCCCTGTGGTGTGCTCCCACACCACTCCTCCCAGGGGAGGAAGGGGAATCTCCCCTGATCTGCTTCTTGTTGGGTTCCTGCTGGAAGAGCAGTGGCCTGACTGTGCCATGTATCATGGTCTGTGGCAACCCCGAGCTGAAAGCCCACTCCTCTGTTCCATCTCTGCAGCTGGCTTCCCCACTCTGATACCTGGGAGCTCTGCCGCACTCAGGCAC